ATTTTATTGTGCATTAGATATAGGCGGAGAGTTTAGAGCTATTACTCTTGACATATCTAAAGCTTTTGATAAAGTTAGGCATGCTGGTCTTCTCCTTAAGCTTGTTTATACGGTTTACCTGGAAAGGTTTTTGAGATGGTAAAATCGTTTATTTCTATCTGCTTTATTAAAGTCGTCCTCAAAGGCCAACACTCTTCTTCATTTCCAGTAACTTCTGGGTACCTCAACGTTCTATCCTTTGTCCTGTTTTGTTTCTTATCTACATTAATGATTTTCCTGACAACCTTACATCTAAAATAGCTCTTTTTTGCTGATGACTCAACTTTATCTCTCTTTTTGATTGCTTAGAACAGGCAGCCGATCTTGAATCTGATCCCACTTCTGTAACCGATTGGGGCTCATAGTGGCTTGTAAATTTTAATTCCAACAAAACTCAATTATTTACTGCAAACAATTATCACAATACTGTCAACATTCCTATATTAATGAATGGCAACCCTCTCACTGAGTCCTCTTCTTTATGTCTTCTCGGATTATCGCATACTATTGACCTTTCATGGAAACCATATATATAATTGGTTGCTAAATTAGCATCCACTAAGGTGTCTTCTCTGTATTATGCTCAGGGTTGGCATTAAAAAACCCGCCCAAAAAAAACCCGCCCAATAAAACCCGCCCAATAAAACCCAAAAAAAACCGCCTAAAAAAACCCAATAAAACCCTGGAAAATCTGGGTTTTATTGGGTTTTTTTAAAGATATTTAATAAGTTTATGAACTATTATAACCAACTTTAACATTATAACTATAATATTATTTACTAAAATAATTATTAACTATTTTTATTAACTTAACTATTATTAACTATTGTTATTAACTATTATTATTAACTATTGTAACCAACAATAACAGCTATCAGAGCAGGTTTACTATTATTTGAATCATTATTTGGAAATACATTATTACAATTTTTATTCAAATATTTTTATCGATTGAGATTTTTATTAGATAATGTTGTTCACCTCCCAAGTTGAATTTAAATGAGTAGTAGTGACCAGAGAAGCCAACACAACAGTCGAGGAGGCTACCTTGTTGTGGTTACAACCCTCTCTCAACTCTTTTGCGGTAGTGGTGTTGTGGTAGAGCGCTCAATTCATAAGTGAGAGGTTCCGAGTTTGATCCCCACCACGTCCCTGGCAGTACCCGCGCTCAACTCCTTTCTCCGCGCAGCGGCCTTGTTCGTCAAGGTTCATGTTTCGGAGTTATAGAGTTGAGAGAGGGTTATAACCACAAATAAGTAGCCTCCTCGCCTGTAGTGACCATAAGCTTTGAGGAGGTGAATTGATTTAAAGAAGAAAAAAAACTCTTTAACTCCTAAACACGAATCTTTATAAACAAGGCCGCTGCGCAGAGGAACAAGTTTGTTCATTTGAATTTCAAGTTCAAAGTTTAATTGAAACTTCAGTTACTACCTCCCATTCTCAAGCCTTCTTTTTCACATTTTCTCATTGACATTTTTAATTATATAAAATAATACTTTTAAATTTAAAATAAATCAATACATATAGATTAAGCGTGAAATTTTTTTTTCCTATTACAGTTTTAAATTATATTTAAAAATCTTTTTCAAAATAATTTGAAAAATTCTTGTTATAAATAATTAAACAACAATATATTAAATATATTTTAAATAAAGTTAAAGTAGAAAAAAACTAATTTTCAATATCAATAAACAAAAACACAAAAAATTTTTTACAGAGACAAAATAAAAATTATACCCAAAAAAAACCCAAATTTACCCAATAAAACCCAAAAAAACCCAAAAAAACCCACTGGGGCGGGTTTTTTTAAAAAAACCCGGGTTTTTGCCAACCCTGATTATGCTTGCTATTTTCTTACTCCTGATTCCATTCTCTACTTCTACAAATCTCTTATTTGTCCCTGTATTGAATACTGTTGCTATATTTGGGCTGGTTTTTCTAATGATGCTCTGTCTCTTCTAGACAAGGTCCAAAAACATATTATCAACATAGTCAGACCCACGCTATCTGCTAAGCTTGAGCTCTTTCCTATCGTTGTAAACTTGTATCTCTTTCTCTTTTCTACAAATCTTGGACGCTGCTCAAAGAAAATGTTGTCTCTAGTCTCATCAACTATAAATTATTCTCGCTTGACTTATCATTTAGCAAAGTCTTATTTATTTACTATATCTGTCCCTGCATACTCTAAAAACTTTTCATCTAGTTTTTTCTCTCGCACTTCAACTCTTTGAAACTCTCTACCATCTTCATTTTTTTCGGGCTCATACAGCTTTCAAGTTTTCTGTCAACCTTTTCCATGCTCTTTAACTCTATTCTTAGTTTTCTAGTAACTCCCAACTTAATAGTAGTTGCTTGCAACCTTGCAGTGAATCAGAATGATAATAAAAATAAAAGTGTTAAATATTATTTTTTATAAAATTTAACCTTTCTTTTTAAAACTATTGTAAAAAATATATATATTATTTTGTTCAATATTTTGAAAAACGTGTTCTGCGAAGGTTGGCATAATTTTTATTAAAAACAATAGAAAGTGTAATTTATTAAATGACAGAGAGCGTGGAAAACAAAAATTTTAAATGGTACTGAAGTAATGGAATATTGAAAATCGTAACAGACAACTTAATGAAAATATTTGCAATGTTTTAGTCATTGAACATTTCATTGTTATGTACAACTTGAATAATTTAATCAAGGAGGTTTAATAAACAGGTTTAATAAATTTTTTTGAAGCTGGTTTAGAAAATTGGCTGTCATCTTGGTTAATCCAAAACAATTTCACAGAGCTTAAGATTTGGCTGAAAACTTTGTTAAAAGCAAATCATAACTTGCAATGAAAGATATAATTTGCAGTTTATGTTTGGCAGACTGTCCTTTAAAGACTCTCCTCTAAAAAGTAATTTTCTAACTAGTCGTCTTCTTCAGTTCATTTAATTAAAATTTGGAACATTGAAATAATATCTGATCTTTTTATCTGAGCTATGTTAAAATACAGCTATCAGAGATTTTAGCATCTTACTATCAGATATAATAATTAAGATAGTATAAAAGGATCTTGTGAAAATAAAACTAAATCTATGTTATTTTTAACAAACCTAACAGTTATAATTTTTTTAAATATGTCTATATAAAAATTTAAAAGCGTATTTATCGTTTATATTAAATTATATTAGAGATTTTATGGGTGGTTTTCAAAGATTTTTTTGTTTGAAACCAATAAATAAATATACACTTAGAAACAATAATTTTATAAGCCTTTTTGTCGAACCAAGTTTAATCAGTTTTGTATTGAATATCATGTACCCTATCTTTAGAATAAAATTTTTTGTCCAATTTTGACATGCATTTTTTTTTCCCATTTTCAAATATAAACTAAAAAATTTAAATGTCCTAATGGATAATGTAGTCAAGTATTTTTAATTGTAATTTTGTATTTTCTTTAGAACTTTTATTGTTATATATATATATATATATATATATATATATATTATATATATATATATATATATATATATATATATATATATATATATATATATATATATATATATATATATGTAAGAAAATATGTACTTTTAATTTTTTGTCAAAAAATTATAGTTTTTAGGCCATATATATGTAAGAAAATATGTACTTTTAATTTTTTGTCAAAAAATTATAGTTTTTAGGCCATAAAATTTAAACTAGTAATATTTATATAAAATGATTATTATTTTTAAAATTTTTATAAAATTTCACTTCTTTTGAGACCCAACATGATATACTTTTGAAGAACTTTTTTTTTTCAAAATATTAGGGACTCGTTTGATGTTTAAGGGTCTTGAGCAACCCCTAAAATTTTTTTTTATTTAAAATTTTTTTAAATTCAGCTCTAATTTATTACATAGAACACATTTAGGGGGTGGCAGCAGACAGTTTCAAAAAAAGTTGTTTTTAGTGGCATTCTAATATATATATATATATATATATATATATATATATATATATATATATATATATATATATATATATATATATATATATATATATATATATATATATATATATATATATATATATATATACATATATATATATATATATATACATATATATATATATATATTATTTTTATTTATATATATATATATATATAAATCTTTATTATTTTTATTTAATAATAAAGATTTTTGATGAATTCAAAAATTTTTGGACAAAGTTTTTATATTTAAAAAGAACTTTTTATTTATTTTTTTATCAAAATTTAATAGAAATGCAAAATTAAATTACTGTTTTGTAGGACTCTCTTTAATGGAGAATGTTTTAGAGTGAAGTTCTCAATTAAAAACGGTTTCACCTTGTATGTGTCAAGTAGTTCTTAATGGAGAATTGCTTTACACATATGAGGTATCAATTCAACTAAATTAATACAAACATCAATGGGAATTGAGTGCAATATTTTTTTGATTTTTCTGAATAAATTGGCATGATTTGTAAGCTTGTTAATAATATTAATAACAAGCTTACATATCATAATATTTGATGGTCAACATGTTTCTATAAATAATCAACAGCATTTTATTTTAAACCAGTTGATATCAACTTTTAAACACTTTTTTTGAAGAATTCTTGAATCTATTTGCTTGTGTGTTTTTGATTGCTTTCCTGATGTTATATTAATTCATGAAGCTATTTATCCACGGTTCCAGTTTATCAATGGAGTGTATCTACACCATCCCGACTAAAACATCTCAAAACTATTACATTATCTCTTCCATGTTTTACGGTAAGTAGTTAGGATTTTAGATCATATTTTGTATCTACTGGATGTCAAACAAACTTAATTCCATCTGATCCATTAATTGTGAAATGCTTCAGAATGTCCGCAAATTTTTGAGCACAGCACATAATTAAGTCATTTAATTGATTTAAATATTTAGGCTTTTTAATGTGTGTGAAAATTTTTTTCACACACATTAAAAAGCCTAAATATTTAAATTAATTAAATGACTTAATTAAATAATCAATATTTATTCAAAACATAATCGTAAACATGAAAATCTTTCATTTGATATATGTGAGGTTTAGTGAAGTAAGTGAAATATTCTTTAAATTTTTTAAACACTTTATTTCAGCACTTTTTTAAATATTTTTGGACACTAATATATATATATATATATATATATATATATATATATATATATATATATATATATATATATATATATATATATATATATATATATATATATATATATATATATATATATATATATATATATATATATCTATGTATGTATGTATGTATGTATGTATGTATGTATGTATGTATGTATGTATGTATGTATGTATGTATGTATGTATGTATGTATGTATGTATGTATGTATGTATGTAATTATGTATTTATCATTTATTATTTATCAGGGTTTACGGTGAAGAACTAATTACTCCGTTTGCACAAGTTCTCTCTTCTCTTCAAAATATCAGGACAAACTTTGTCATGTTAACAAATATTCGTGAAAGTGGTATGCGGCGTGGGTCTGAAGGTTTTCACTCCCACTCATGTCAGTTGTATGAGAAAAGTGATGGAAGCATGATTAGAGGTTTGTTTTATTTTTGTTTTTTTACTATCACAAAATTCTAAAGAAAAAATTATCATCACACTACTAGTATCTACTTCTTATTTCCACTCATTTCAATTTTAAGAAAATATAAAAAGTAGAATAAAAACACATATCTAACTTTTTCTTCTACTGCCAATTTCTCCTTCAACAAGATCATCAGGAAAAAAAATTTGATACAAAGGTCTAACCATAAAACATAGAAACAAGGTGGGCAACTTTTTTCCAACCTAAAACTCTTTTAGGTTGCCAGTGAGGTCGGCATAGGCAAATGTCTACCCTAATTCTGAGGTCTATATATATATATATATATATATATATATATATATATATATATATATATATATATATATATATATATATACATATATATATATATATATATATATATATATATATATATATATATATATATATATATATATATATATATATATATATAGACCTCAGAATTAGGGTAGACATTTGCCTATATATATATATATATATATATATATATATATATATATATATATATATATATATATATATATATATATATATATATATATATATATATATATATATATATATATATATATATATATATATATAGCCAAACCACATTTATATATGTATATACATATACATATATATATATATATATATATATATATATATATATATATATATATATATATATATGTGGTTTATATATACATAAACATATATATATATATATATATATATATATATATATATATATATATATATATATATATATATATATATATATAGCCAAACCACATTTATATATGTATATACATATATATATATATATATATGTGGTTTATATATACATAAACATATATATATATATATATATATATATATATATATATATATATATATATATATATATATATATATATATATATATATATATATATATATGTGTGTGTGTGTGTGTGTGTGTGTGTGTGTGTGTGTGTGTGTGTGTGTGTGTGTGTGTGTGTGTGTGTGAGTGTGTTGTTTGGTTATCGTTTGTGATTAAAAGCCTAATTTAAGCTCAATATTATAGTATTTAGTACATACTATACTACTTTTTTAAATAGATCCCTAATATTATAAAAATAAAAGTCCTTTGAAGATAGGTTTACCTGGTACTCAAATGAAGCACTCAAAAAAATTTTTTTATTTAAACAATATTTTTTTTTAGACTTAATTGCAAAAAAAATTTTTTTATTAAAAATAAAATAGGTGGGTTTTTATGTTTTTAATTTTTTTTTTTTAAAAAGTGTTATTATTTTTGAAAATTCTATAAAAAATTGCTTTTTAACTACATTGGCCGAATATTGGCTACGGTATAAATGTAAGAACAGCAAAATATTAAGCCCAAACTACATTAGCCAAATGTTGGCCCAACGTAGTACGATAATTGCATTGCTTTTTAAAGAACTCTTATTATTATATTGGGACCTGCTAAATAAAAATTAGCATATATTATAAATTAGCATTTTTGTATGGATTAATTTTTTACTAAAATTTTCAAGAAAAAAATGTCAAATCTCATGTCTTAAATGACCACGCATACAATTTTTTTTTTTAAACTTGGCCAGGTTTTTTTGCATATATTGATAATTTGCATGTTTAAAAAAATGTAATAAAACCGAACTAATTTAAAGAGAGAATTAAATATGAACTGAAAAAAGGAAACAAACTTATGAAATGATAAAATAAATAAAGGATTTATTAATTGTATCATTTATGAGGCGCGAGTGGTATATTGGCATTAATAGAGGGTTCAAATCCTACTATCTGAAATTTTTTTTTTTAAGTTTAATTGGCTTTGTAGAAATTAGAAAATATCAAAGTTTTAAATTTTTAAATAATTAAGTTTTGAAGTAATTAAGCTTTGATTAAATAAATTCAATACAATAACTAAACATGAATATATAAACTTGAAATATGGTTTTAACTGATATATTTTGTTTGCTGGTTTGACAACTTGAAAAATTTGTCAAACCAGTAAACAAACAAACAAAAAAAATTCCAATAAATTTTATTGCTTCAAAATGTTTCAAAAAACATGATCTCTTGTGCTAATGAATTTTAAATTTGAATTTTTGTATTTGTGTGTTTTTTGAAATTGTATTTTAAATAATACATTTTGAGGCAATAAAATTTATTGGAATTTTTTTTTTTGTTTTTTTTTTTGTTTACTGGTTTAACAAATTTTTCAATTTATATCAGTTAAAACCATATTTCAAGTTTATATATTCATGTTTATATATTCATGTTTATATATATATGTTATATATATATATATATATATATATATATATATATATATATATATATATATATATATATATATATATATATATATATATATATATATATATATATATATATAGATTTTAAGCCAAAACAAAAATCAAAAATCTATATACTTGAGCAAATATGTTAATAAGACTATTAAAGTAATTTCTATCACTTTGTGTATGTTTATATATATATAATTTGTTAAACCAGTAAACAATAAAAAAACAAAAAAAAAATATATATATATATATATGTAATATTATTATAATTATTCTACTTTTTATATTTTGAGTTAATAACTAAGTTTCTTTATTTTAGATAACATGTTTAAAAAGGTAAGAAGTTTTGTATTTACTCAAATATTTTAACATTAATAATTTTTTTTTGTTTAAATTTCATTTTGTAAAGTTCTTTTTTTGGTGTAGTTGACTATCGAAACAATGAAAGAATTTGATTGGTGTTTGGAACAACTTGAAACACTTGGTGCAAGTATGTCAATAAGCGAAATGGCAACAAATAAGGTATATCATCATCATTATGTCCAACATTTTCTTTACTTTGTTTCCTTTAAGGTTTTTTGATAGTTAACTTATGTAGATTATAAAACTGCTTCACAGAGAAACAAGTCTACCTAGGATGTAAGTAACATAATATGTCAAAATAGGTTAAGATGAATTAGGCATGGTGTATATAAAAATACAGGTTAGACATGTAGAAGCAAGAAAATACAGAACCGGCATGTAGTAGCATATCAGTTTATACAAAGAAAAATAGAGATAGGAGTTTCCTAACTCACATCTCTATTTTCTTTATAAAAACAGATTTTACTTTAGTACAACAACTTGTTTCTTTAGGCAACAATCAAAGTTGATGTTTCGAAATTAAATGGTTGAGAGTTGTAGCAAATAATATTAAAGTATCTTTAAGAAAATAAAACTAAAATTTATAAAAAATGTAGGTTAATTAACATAACTTACATAAACATACATAACCTACAACCTGCATAATTTACAACCTGCATAAACATAAATAACCTATAACCTACATAAACCTACAACCTACATAAATTTACATTACCTACAAAGCATTTTGCTGCAATGTTTAAAACATATTCTTACATTTGTATAAGTTAATCTTTTTGAATTAAAATTTTATATTAAAAAATCTAATATGAAAATGATAAAAAGTTTTCTGATTTTTTAATTTTGATGGTAACATCACAGCAAAAAAATCTTTTTAACAGGTTGCTATGTAACAGGTTGCTTGTTGATGATTTGTTAAGAGTAATTATAAAATGATTTTATCAAGGTATACCAATTTTATCAATGATTTTATGCGAGGACCACTTCTCTTGATATATTAAAGGTTATTAATATAGTTTGAAAATGTTTGACTTGATAATCTCTTTTCATGATTCAGGAAAGCATGAAGCTAGGAAAAAGTTCCAAATAATTGAAGTGCAGGGAAAAAACTAAACAAAAGTTTTTAGAGCATGAAGGGATAATATAGTAAAAAGATGTAACTTTGCTGAATGACGAGTGAAACAAGAATGAGTTTGGGAAGGTGGAATTAGAGGTGATGCTTGTATGAGCAGCAACCATAATAGCATTTGTAGAAAAGAGGAGATGCAACCTATATTATAGGAAAGTGGATCAAGCTAGGGAGAAAGAGCAGGTCCAACTGCATGTGTTTTTGGATCTTGTCTAGAAGAGAAAGATCACCATTAGATGAACCAGCCTGACAACAGTATTCTATACAGGGGCAAATAAGAGATTTATAGAGAGAATAAAATAAGAAGAAATCAAATAAGAGAGAGGTAGAGAATGGAATCAATTTTTGTATTCAATTTTGATATTGTTTCCATGAAAGGTCAGTAGTGAATGATAATCTAAGGAGAATTAAAAAAGAGGACTCAATGAGAGGGTTTTCATTCATTAGTTTAGGAATGTCTACATTGTTAGAGCTGCCTGTTCTAAACAATCCAAAATAGAAGATTTTTTATCAAGACGGGAGAATAAAATTGAGTCATTAGCAAATAGAGCCACTTTAGATGTAAGGTTGACAGGAAGATCATAAATTTAAATAAGAAATTACACATTACCAAGGATAGAACCTTGAGAAAGAACGTTACTGGAAATGAAGAAGAGTATTAGCCTTCACTTAAATAAAGTGATTAGAAAGAAATAGTTTGATAATCTCAGAACTTTCCTAAATGTACCATAAGAAATTAGCTTATGGACCAAGCTTGTTTATTTATTTATTATTGGAGGAGACCTGCCAAACTTTATTGAAAGCTTTAGATAATGAAAGAATTTTATGCGAGGGGGTGTAGCCTTTGCTACACCCCCTCGCATTTAATGGATACTAAAATCTTTAGGTCACAGCAGTTAGCTAGTCAGCTGTAAAACAAGAAGATCAAAAACCATATTGATTGTTAGAGAGTTATTAGACTCAAGATGGAATGTTAGAAATTTTTCAAAGACTCAATGGCCCTGCTAATAATAAAGACCACAAGTTGTAGAAAAGTTTAATTGAGAAATGACTTCAGCAAAACTGCTGTCCAGTGGTTTGTATGTCTGACATTCAGTTGTTTAACTGGAAAGGTAGGATGAGTATTAGATTCAAGAGTTGAATTAGAAGAAAAGTTCTTTACAAACAATTTAGCCTTATCTTCAGGAGAGGTAATAAGTCAGTCCCATGAAAATTCCATCTCCATGGAGATGGAATTTTCAACTTACCTTTCCAAAACTTAATTTTAACTTAACTTAATGACTTTCCAAAAGTTAAAGATTTTCCAAAAATCTCTAGAACCTAACTTCTAGAGTCTTTTGAGATAAAATGTGAGGGAATCGGGAATAATGGAGCTTAGCAGCAGACAGCACCATTTTAAATTTTACATCTTGTAATAATAAAAAGGCTAAAATATAATTTGGCTATAATTTGTCTAAAGGTTGATTAAAAAATGTTTATAAACTTATTTTAAATTGTTATCTGTTTTGTAAACAAATTTTTGTTGCTTTATGACTTTTTATTTTTTCACAAAAAAATGAAGATTTATTTAAAGAATTTTTATATTAGTTCAAAAAGATGCTAGACAGAGAGTTAAAAGATTTTTCTGAGACTGGCTCTGGAGGAGAAGAGGTGTCAGCATACATTTACGATAATTTTCTTGGTAAATTTTACTTTATTACTATTCACTCTTTATATTTTACTTTATTGCTATTATGACATCATAGTGTAATGTATATATATATGTATATATATATATATATATATATATATATATATATATATATATATATATATATATATATATATATATATATATATATATATATATATATATATGTATATGTATATGTATATGTGTGATAAATAGCTGATATATATGTGTGTGTGTGTGTGTGTGTGTGTGTGTGTGTGTGTGTGTGTGTGTGTGTGTGTGTGTGTATATATATATATATATATATATATATAAATATAAATATACACACACACAAATATATATGTATATAGACACACACACATACACACATACATACTTACATACATACATACATACATACATACATACACACACACACACACACACACACACACACACACACACACACACACACACACATATATATATATATATTTGCTATTTATCAGATTATGTTGTTGGCTGATGCCAACAACAAAAAAGTTATTTCTGTTGCTAAGCAAACAATACTTTTTTTGTATAATATTTCTCATTTTTATTTCAATTATGTAACCAATAGTGGACTGGTCCACTGGCCACTTGCCTGGTGGACCCCTTGATTTGATTTTAAAATTTTATTATACCAGGGGAAAAAATTAATTATTCAGTCTTTTGACTTCGTTGTATACATTTTTTTATTCCAGTTTTGTGGTGGTGTAGACAACAATTGTGCGGCCCTAAGAAAAAATCATCTAGGGGCCCTATAATACCTAGTAATTTGTTTCCTACTGTATATCCATATTTTGCATAGTGTAACAAGTATGAAAAAAAAATTTAGACATAGGATAACATCAAGCCCAAAGCCAAGCGATTATGTGTGATCCTTATTTTGTGTAGATATGCTTTATGCCTAATTAAAGTGCACTATCATTTTTATTTTAAAAGAAATAATTAACCCCTAAAAATTTTACAAATCACAAAATATTTATTAACAAGCTATTTTTATAGGACTTGATAATGTTAAAGTTTTAAAAATGCAGTAATAGAAAAGAAAATCAATAAAATAAAAGAAAGCGGTTGTTGCATTCTTGATATCATAACATTATTGAAGAAAATCAAAGAAAATTTCTTAACATTTTAAAGTTTCATAAGTAAATTCATTTTATTAAAGAAATATAGAATTAGAGAAAAAAACAATCGAATTGTTCAACTTATTTAACACTGTTGAATGATTGAAGCATCAGACCACTGTGTACATATTTATGTTATAGTCATCCTCTTAACTTAGTTGTGAATGAGGCAACCAGCTGCTGCATTTAGCCGGTTTTATTTTTAAGCCTTCTACAAAATGTTGCAACGCTCATAAAAGTGTCATAAGCAAATTTTAAAACTTTTAAAAACACAAAATGAAAAGATTGAAATTGTTTGGTAAAACAAGGTAGTTGGTTGAATCAAATGCTGCTACGACAATATTCAAAACATTTGCTAAACCATCTTCAACTGTGTTTGTCAATATGATTTCATGTCTGTCATGTATAAGTGAAGCAGAAATTTTAGATGTAAAAAGTGGGACCACTACATATAAACATAATAACATTACCAAAATAATGACATCACATTTATAAGATTATCTGTACTATTTTTGTAACATAAGTTAAATATAATTAGTAATTACGAGATTGCAAAAATCTGTTTAATGACCATTTAAAGTCGTATATGTTAATGCCTGTCAAAAAAAGTCTATTTGATAGCTTAAGCGTGATACAATCATTCAAAGATATGCATCTATATCCTCTGAATTCAGCAATTGCTTAAAGAATAGTTTTTGCTATACTTTGCACATCACTCTGTACTTTTTTAGTTCATTATTAATTGATTAGTTTGTGATTTCAGTCTTCATGTTATGGTTTTTTTTTTTTTGTGGAAAGTTTGCGGCCGTCTTAGCAATATAAGTATGTTAGGAGGGCTCCTAAATTATTTGCCTGGCAGGTAAAATATATTTAGCCAGTCCGCCGCTATGCAACCCATTTTTCACCATCACATCAAGTTTTATATTTTGGGTAAATTTCATTATATTGTCAACAACAAAAAAAGATTCATGAGTATGTCAATCTGAATGTCAAAAGATCTTTTCATTAAGATTTTAAAAAACATTAATATTTTTAATTAGTAATATTTATTGACAAAAAAAATATTGTAAAAAAAAGTCTTAGGAGTCTAATAAATATTTTAACAAAATGTTTCTTAGCATTAATATAACAAGTATTTATTTTTATTACAAACAATTATTATTTTTTACTCTTTATAAAAATAAAAGGCTTCTCTTTTTTTTAGATCTCTATGAAAAGGCTCATATTATTTTAGACCTAGATTGACACTTTACTAGATTGATACTTTTAGATAATTTTTTTCTTAATTCTCTCTAACCTCTTCAACTACCTTTAAAGTTATTTTTATTTGTAACGGCATTGCTATTATATGCATACACAGATAGATGTGCGTGTGTAAATATGTGTTTATATTTATAGCATACTTTTTTAAGTAAACTATTCTTTTTTTCTTTTCTTTTCAGATAAAAAAATAGAGGCAGTTACAAAACGACCAAATAAACCTTTACGAGCACGCTCAAAAAGTCTGGTGAATTCATTAGCAAGAACTGTTAGTGGATCTGGTTCAGTGCCAAGGTTTTTTTCTTAAATTTATGGATATTAATCATTTATATTTTCATATACAATTTTATATTACTAAAATACAGACGACTAAGTATACCAACTTGATATTTTTTTTTAATTATTTACCTCCCTAAGGCCCAAGAGGGCCACTACAGTCGAGGAGGCTACTCAATTTTTTTTTTTTTTTTTTTTGTAAATTGTGGTACAACCCTTAACTTTTTAACTCCAAAATATGAACCTTGACAAGCAAGGCCGCTGCGCGGAGAAATTAAGTTGAGTGCGGTACTTCCAGAGACATGGTGGAAGTTGAGCTCCTAACCTCTCGCTTACAAAGCGAGCGCTCTTACCACTACACCACTACCGCATATAGCAGGCGATAATAATTTAACATGCAAGATTTTGGTTTGTATGAACCATATCTTATTTATTCTTTGCTTGTAATTTTTTTTTTTTAAACAACTCTTTTTTTGTGGTTTCATCTTTCTAAAACTGCATGTATGTTATACTAATAATAGTTATTTTTAATTTACTAATCTCATTGCTTTATTTAGGTTTGGTGTTGATAGTGTTGATGATAAAAAATTAGAAAAAGTGAGTGCATTTTGTTGTTGTAAAAAATGTCATTTTAGATTTAACAGTTTATTCTTTATTTTGTAAATAAGGAATAATATTGTAATTTAATTTTTTTTTATTTGTTTTTGTTTTATGTTTATAAATTATATTTGTCCTAAAAATTGTTCAAAAATCATATTTACTGTTATTATATATTATTCATAGTAAATGTAGTAAAAAACTTTATTAGATAAAAACTGTAATACACATCTTCACAGTTCGGATAATTTCATACGCATGTATGAAATTATCTGTATATATATATTATGAAATTATTGTATATATATATGTATATATTGTATATATACATATATATATACAATATATATATATATATATATGTATATATATATATATATGTATATACACACACATATATATGTATATATATTATATTTATATATATGTATATATATATATATATATATATATATATATATATATATTGTATAAATACACACAAACACAACTATCAATGCACATTTCACACTTGAAATGTGTGAAATGCAAAAGATAAAGAGTATTATTTAAGAGCTTTTATTTCTTTTATATATATCCTATAAAACAAACATATAAAAAGTATAAATACATAAATAATATAAATTTAGCCTTAAAATAGTTAAAAAGAAAGTTAAATAATTCAAAATCGATACTTTTATTATGTATAAAAGTAAAGAAATCTCATGTAAACAACTGTTTCTTTCAAGGATCCTCTCTTAATTTATCTGTGTATTTACTTCCTTTCGTGCGATTCTGCGCACAACGAACGATGACAAATTAATTAAAGTGTGCGCGCACAAAAATATCGGAACTGCGAAGATGTGTATTCAGGGAAATTGGAAAGTTTTGATTTAAAATGAAAAAAGTTTTGATTAAAAGAATAATTCGGAGAAGAAATTTTTTTTCTTTTTTGATAATTTCAATCGTTAAAATATCTTTGTCAGAAACGCATCTGTGACTAACAAACAAAATATTGAAAAAGTCCTCAAAAAAAAGTAAATTTAAGAAAGTAATCCTCCAAAACATTTATATTTTGTTCTGAAATGATGGATTAAAACCAAAAAGTTTAAATCTCTGTTAGAAGACCAAATTCCATTTCATTAAATGTTCTACAGTAACTAATTAAAAGTAAATATAAAAAACAATTTTGTAAAAAAGTAAATATAAAAAACAAAACATTAGTGAGTTTTTTGGAAAGGATTTTTAGTTTAATATAAAATATGAATACACAATCATTAAGCATTAATTTTGTAAACCATCAACCTAGACCAGATTTTTTTTATAAAACTACAAAAAGTCAGGATTTTATAATTTTCTGCAGACACAAAAAAATTAACATAAAGACAGTTGTTTTTTTTTTTTTATATAACAAACATATGTAGGATTTTATAGATTTCTATGTTATTATTTTTAATTTTTTTTTCTTAAACCATTTAAAATAATAAAAGATAGGTAAATATAAAATGTAAAAAATTAAATCATTTAAAAATAAAAAATTTAGGTCACCTAAAAAAAAATATTGAAATCAGCTCAAATTGAAGATTGAAACTAAAGATTGAAAATTAAAATATAAGATGAAAAATATAACATGTAAGTAAACAAGAAAATTTTTGTTATAGTTATTCAACCAGAACAGAATTTTGACTTTTGGGTTTTTTCTAATCCTCCACTATTAAAGTACAACCTTCAATGGTTTATTATCTCAGATTATCTAAAATATATTTCTCTTAAATAATGAAAATTTCATTTATTAACTACACCAACATTTTATTTCACTGACAATTTGAAATTTAGAAATGAAATGCAATAACTTATTCTTTCACTATTTTGAACTTCTCATATTTATTAGTATGTCACTTTTAATACTGGCCATTGGCTATTATGGTCCATAATGGCTGATGGATTATTAAATACTCATCAGTTTTTAAAAAAAAATAGTAAAAATCTATTTTAATATTTTAGTTAATGGAAAATGTTGATAAATGGAGTTTTGATATATCTCAACTTGCTGTTTTTACAAAAAATCGTCCACTACTGAGTATCACATATACTATACTTCAGGTTTGTTTAAATTTGTATGTTTTATTTAAATATTTTATAACCTATGAAAATTATACTGTTATAAATAATTTTTAGGCAAGAGACTTGCTAAGACCTTTCAAAATCCGACCATGGATTCTTGCTAATTACATCAATATTATTGAGGTAAATTAAATACTATTAAAAAAAAAATTGTGTAACAAATTCTTCAACAAGTTTTTGTTAAAATTTGGATTAAAAAATTTACTAAATTGCGAAGTTGACTTTAGCTTCCACTTGAAGCTCATGAAGTTGACTTGGCTTAATTTATCTATCATTTATTAAATCATATGCTATTTAAATGCTTTCAAAAAATACGAAAGGCAATAGTTTTTTACTTTTTGTAAGCATATATTTTTTGTAAATGTATTTAGAAAATGTAAATTAATAAAGCATTTAAAAAATTTACGTAATTACACAAATAATAATTGCAAATACATTTTAATAAATGAAATATTATTTTCTTTATTAAACTTGTTTTTCATCGTGTTGTAAAATATGGTTATATTTTTTATTGAAAATAAAATTTCATTTATAAAAAATGGTTATTCAAAATGTACTTTCTTATAAAATTTCAAATGTACGTTTTTATAAAAGTAATAATTTATGAAATTGTTGCTCATTAATACTGTAAACATAACTAATTTTTATATAATGTATATATTATCAATCAAAATTTTCTGTAAATATTATTCAATGCATGGTAGTTTGACTAATGCATGGTAGGTCAGTTAAGTTTGATAAAAAAATTTGTCTTAGGCTCAGTTAATTTTAAGGTACCCATGGTCTAAATTCATTCCTTTGAATTAGTATATGACCAGGGTTGATATATTTTTTTTTCTTTTAATTATCTTTGCTTCCAACAAGGCTGCAAGCAACCACTAATTAGTGTTGGAAGTTACTGGAAGAGAAAAGGTAAAGATTGTAGAGCAAGATAACGATTGACAGACGACTTAAAAGATTGCAAATTATATGAATCAGGAAAGCAAGATGAAGGAAGCCAATTCCAAAGAACTGATGTTCGAGGAAAAAAACTAGACGAATAAGAGTTTTTGGAGCACTTAGGAACAGTAACAGAAAATGGATGAGACCTAATTGAATGACGAGTAACACGAGAATGAATTTTAGAAGATGGCACAAGAGACGCTGAAGAAGAAGAGTGCTGTCCATCAAGGACAACTTTTATACTACAATTGGAAAGGAAGGATTTAATAATCTTAAAGATGTTTCCAGATACACCGTAAGAAGAAAGCTTATGGAGAAGACCAGCATGCCAAACTTTATCAAACGTTTTAGAAATGTCAAGAGCAATGGCCTTAACCTCTCCACCTTTATCTAATGGGCAATAAAACCTATCGGTTATTACTGATAGCAAATCAGCCGTAGAACGAGAAGATCGAAATCCATACTGATGATCAGAAAGTAGGTTATGAGATTCGAGATGAGAGATTAAGTTTTTTTTTTTTTTTTTTTTTTTTTTAACATCATCACTTCCAACAAGGCTGCAAGCAACCACTATAAGAGTTGGAAGTTACTGGAAGAGAAAAGACTAAGTCAGTAGAGCAAGATAACGATTGACTGATGACTTGAAAGATTGCAAATTATATGAATCAGGAAAGCAAGATGAAGGAAGCGAATTCCAAAGAACTGATGTTCGAGGAAAAAAACTAGAAGAATAAGAGTTTTTGAAGCACTTAGGAACAGTCACAGAAAAAAGATGAGACTTAATTGAATGGCGAGTAACACGAGAATGAATTTTAGTAGATGGCACAAGGGACGCTAGCTCTTTAGTGTTTGTTAATTAAAGATTCAAAAACCTTGCTTATGATAGGAAGAAGACTAATGGGACAGTAGTTAGATGAGTCAGATCGCTCTCCAGAATTTTTAAAAATAGGGATAACAGATGCTGCTTTCCAACAGGCTGGAAAACAAGACTCTGACAAGCACTTGTTGAATAGTTTTAAAAGGATAGACGACAGCTCCGGAGAACACTTCTGCATATTTGACTGGGCCAGGTTTGTGACCGGGGCTGTATAAACATTTATACATTTTAAAGTATATTTTTTTATTTCAAAATTCATGTTAAATTTTGTATATATATGCATATATAAACATCATTATGATCAACACGATCATCATCATCATCACTATTGTTACCATCATTATATCATCATCATCAACATCAAGCTTTAGCCTTTTTATGCTGTTTCTCAATCATCGTCAATTGTCTAACGAGCTATCATATCTATTTGGATAAATCAAAACTCAAAGTTCTTGCTTGGCTTCTTATTCAACAAGTTGCATCCTTTTACTGTATCTGTCCCTCCATGCTATAAAAACTTTTATTAGTCCAGTTTTTTTTCCTTGCACATTAAAAAACCTTGTAACTCTTACCCATCATAATGTTTTCCTTTTTTATACAACCTGCAAGTCTTTAGTTAACAGTTTTCTAGCTTTTAAACCTATCCTCTATTTTAAAGTAGCTCATAAATTAATAGTGGTTGCCTGCAACCTTGTTGGAAGTAAATTTGAGTTTAAAAATATATAAATATATGCCAGTATTTAATGAATAGTAAATATAAGCAGTGCTTGAAGTGAGTCGGGATACCATCCTGTCACCTTTTTATAAAATATAAACCATCCCGTCACCTTTTTATTTATCTCTATATATAACAATGATTAGGCGGGATGGTATTTTTAATTTACCCAATATCATCCTTTTACTTTTTTTTTCTCCATTTCGAGCACTGAATGTAAATATAAAATTATAATATATAAAAAATTATAAATTTTTTTCTAGCCCCAGCTATCAACCCCTGCTGAATCTTATAATTTTGCTGGGTTTGCATAAAGTCTCGTTTTTAGCCAGGGCCGGGGCCTGGGTCACTTCCTTCTTTAAATTTGGGTCTTGAAAAGCCAACTTCGACTGTTCTTATGTACTACATTATTTTTTATTTTATATTTAACATTCTAAATTATATTTATTTTAGATTATTCTAAATTATATTTATGGTAATTATTCTTTTAAGGAATTGGTTTATTATCTTATATAAAATTTCTTTTTTTATATATAAATATTGTGAAGAAAATTTATTTTTTTAAGTCACATTATGTCAGTGAAGTATCATTTCATAATTCCCTTCATGCAGCTGATGTTGTCCATGCCACACATTGTCTCTTATCTTCATCTGTTTTTGAAGTAAGTTGCTTTTTTAAAAAAAAATTTCTTACATAAGTTATTTCTGCTTTTGCTTGTTATTATTTATATTAATAATTATTATTGTTACATATTACTTGTTTTAATTACTTTATTTTAGTATCTTAATTTGTTTATATATTTGAAGAACTATAGTAAGAATGTTTGTTGTAGAAACTACACTAAACATCAACTACAATAACCATATTACTTGTAACCATAGTAACCATATTACTTGTAGCATCTGTAATATAAGTTAAATAATATTTGTTTTAAGGGTGTCTTTAATGACCTAGAAATGCTAGCAGCAATAATTGCTAGTGCTATCCACGATGTTGATCACCCTGGTGTTAACAATCAGTTTTTAGTGAACACTAGTTCTCAAATGGCATTAATGTATAACGATGAGAGTGTATTGGAAAATCATCATTTAGCTGTTGCTTTCCAACTCATGCAAAACGATAACTGTGATATCTTGGATTCATTATCTAAGTCTGAGCGACAGCTTTTCAGAAAGATGGTCATAGAAATGGTTGGTTTCACTTACAATTATTTTCATGAATTTTTATATATTTATTTATAACTAGAAGTTTACTGTTTTATGCAAAAGTTCTCTGAAAATTAGTGGGCTATTGCCCCCTCTGCCAAAATTTTAAATGATGTCTTAAACCCCCCACCCCCTCCTCTATACACTAATGTACCTAACCTTTAGAATTTCCCTGGTCGCATGGCATGAAAAAATTAATTTGTCCCTAATAAAAAAACAAGTTCTTCAAAGTTAAAGGAGTGCTGCTAAATTGACTGAGGGTTTGGAATGGGTTAGCAATCTTTTTTATTATTCTTTATTTTTTGAAAAAGCTGTATGCTATAGAGATAAGCAGAACTAGAACTAGCATATGCTAATAGTAAATATATATATATATATATATATATATATATATGTATATATATATATATATATATATATATATATATATATATATATATATATATATATATATTAGCATATGCTAATAGTAAATATATATATATACATATATATATATATATATATATATATATATATATATATATATATATATATATATATATATATATATATATATATATATATATATTAGCATATGCTAATAGTAAATATATATATATATATATATATATATATATATATATATATATATATATATATATATATATATATATATATATATATATTATATATATATATTTTTTAATTTAATTCACCTCCATAAGTCCAAAGAGGCCACTACAAACGATGAGGCTAGTTAATTGTGGTTATAATATATAAGTATATATATATATATATATATATATATATATATATATATATATATATATATATATATATATATATATATATATATATATATTATTATTATTATTATTATTATTATTATTATTATTATTATTATTATTATTTTTATTGACAATGATAAGATAAAGTTATCTTACCAGCGTATTTGTTAGTGAAAAGTTTTTTTTTATAGTTGAATCATTGTTATAGGTGCTTGCCACAGATAACGCAAAGCATATGAACATCTTAGGCTCACTTAAAACCATGGTAGAAACCAAACGACTTTCTGGTGCACCAGTACAACTTGATACATTTAATGAAAAAATGCATGTTCTTAAATGTTTGGTGCATTGTGCTGATCTAAGTAATCCCACAAGGCCTCTTGATTTATACAAAATGTGGGTGGAGCGCCTTATGGAAGAATTTTTTAGACAAGTAATTTAATACCTAGTTATTTGATTATTTTATTTTTTTAAAGGTTATATAGTAATCCTTATTAAAGCGGAGTATAATAAAATTATTTATTTGCTTTTTTTACACTTGTCACAATTATGTCTGAACATGGGTTCAAACAAATATGTCTGGGTAAGTAAGCAAATATGTCTGAATAAGTGTGTCTAATGTGACGCACTCTTCTACAGATAAAATAAATTTGAGGGTCAGAGGTTGTAATTTAGAATTAATTTTTGTATTAAAACAACCTGACCCTTGCCTTAACCTATTTTGATCACCCATAACCCTAAATCTGATCCTAACCATGATTTTCATTACCCTAAACCTTGCCCTCGCCTAATCTTTTTTTTTGTGTGTGTGGAAGGGTACGTTGTTTCCAATGTAATTTGAAAACAAATCAAGTAAAAAAAAAAGTAAATAAATAATTTTATTTTATACTGCCTAACTAAAAGATTACCGGTTATAAAATTTGTAAGGTTTACAACTGTACTTGTATACATATGTATGTATATGACTTTTTATGATAAGGGAGATATTGAACGTGAACGTGGAATGGAGATCAGTCCAATGATGGATAGACAAAATCCAAATGTGGAAAAATCACAGGCAAATTTTTATTCTTTTTTTTGTTGTTGTTACTTTCAATTTTATTTGACTTGATTTGAATTAAGTAATATATAATTTTAAAATAAATGTAGTCTTAGTTAATATTTTTATTATATGGATGCTATCAGATGGTCTATAAATGTTCCCTGGTCTATAAATATTAATATGGATGCTATCAGATGGTCTATAAATGTTCCCTGCAAGTGTAACGTGTTTGCTTTTTTTTTTTTACCTTTCACCTAGCATCTTTAATATTTCATATTTAAATAAATAAAATTGTGGCTTGACTTGATGGCTTCTTGCACAATTTTTGCAATTTTTTCTATAAGTATTATTATTACCTTATTTCCTGTCCTAAAAATCACAGACAAATTTTATTTACTTTACTTATTATTCTTTTCATAATAATTTTATTTTTAAAGTGTGTTTTGCTTATTGCAGTAAGATATTTTATTTTTTGTGTGTGAATCTAATCATTTTGCGTATATGGTTGGTTGCCTAAAGCCATTTTAATACTTAGTACACAGCAATGAACCTTGTCTTAAAGCAAATCATTAAACAGTCGACCATTTTGTTTATTTTTTTTTTTAAGTAATAAAAAAAAAAAAACTAACAACAAGAAGCTCTGCAATGATTATGCCATATGAAACCATTTGAACTATTACCAAATTTTAATGAATAAAAATTTAATAGAATAGTTAATATAAAAGTTTGTGATTGTAATCACATGATAATTGTAATCACCTGATAATTTTATAACAATTACATGGCTGATGGAGTAATTTTCCTAAATAAAGTTGACCCACATCAAATGTATACATAATTGTTAAAACTAACAAATTAAAATTTAACTTAAAAAAATATATCTTTACAAAGCTAAATAACAATCTTTAGAAACCAAACAAGTTTAAATGTTTTAAAAAAGATTAGTTTACAGTAATTTACACTGTTTGTTAACAAGCCTACTGTTAGTGTTGGTTAACAAACGTACTATTGGTGTTGTTTAACAAATAGTAAAAATTTATTACATTAATTGACTAAGTTAACAATGTGAACCAAAGTGTACTTTGGTTTACTTATACACATCTTGTATAACAACAGCTTGTACACAATATATGATACTCAAACTTTTTGAGTGAGTTTTTGAAATCTTGTCAAAGTGATAATAATTAAAAACAGGGTAAGTGTGTTAAGGTCTTAGGCTTATTCAAGAACATATAAAAAATATGTTGTTTTTTTTTAATGACAAAATCATAATTGTTGTAAAACTTAAATAAAAATAACATCAACGACAGTTATATACATCAATTACAACACATCTACATTAACACAGTGCTATTAGCATAAGAACAAATAAAAAAAAGTTACTGAAATAGATCTCAAATGTTCACTGAAAACATTTTACTAAAAGTAGTTTACAGATTACAGCCCTTAGAATTAAGAAAGATGAGGTAGGTAATAAATTGATGACCTTAAACTGTTAGAATCTTGACAAAAAGGTTTTACCATAAAATATAGAAACAAGGTCCGCATTTTTTGTTGACCTCAAATACTTTTAGGTTAGCCGTTAGGGTTAGGATTGCTGAATTCTAAGGATTTAGCATACTTGTGACTTTTTACAATGAGCAATTATATCTGTGTATTTATATTCAATAAAAAATGTTCAACAAGACAAAATGTGCTACACGTTTTGTCTTGTTGAACATTTTTTATGGAACATTTTGATTTCAAAAATTCTTTAAGGATATTACTCTAATACTCTGAAAAAATTAACAAATTTGAATTTCACAACAAAACTAGGAGGTCTCCTTGTGGTCAAAATTTGAATGCCACAACACAAAACTAGGAGGTCTCCTTGTGGTCAAAATTTGAATGCCAAAACACAAAACTAGGAGGTCTCCTTGTGGTCAAAATTTGAATGCCAAAACACAAAACTAGGAGGTCTCCTTGTGGTCAAAATTAAAACTACTAATCAGCAACAGTCATCTGTCAAATATGTCTGAGACCTATTTTCTGCTGACATAAAATATGTCCCACATATTTTCCATCTACATATTTTGACATAATGTCTGAATTATTTTCTGCTGATATAAAATATGTCAGACATTTTCTATTGATATATTTTGACAATTTTTTCTTAATTATTTTCTGCTGACATAAAGTCTCAGATATTTTGTCATTTTATTTTGGACATATTTTATGTTTTATATTCTTGAAATAAAAATCAAACTAACATTTTAGTAACGCATTTCAGAATAATTTGATGAATAAAATGAAAGTATGTTAACAAATAGTTTAAGTTGTTCTTCAAGAATATAAAACAGCAAATAATTCAGATATGAAAGTATGTCAAAATGCGTTGATAGAAAATATGTGGGATATATTTTGTCAGCCGAAAATAATTCAGACTTAAATTTATGTCTAAATACATTTATAGGAAATATGTGGGACATATTTTATATCAGCAGAAAATGTCAACAGATCTGCTAAACATATTATGTTGTGAAAACCAATAAAGCTATCAATAATGTCTTAGGTAGGAAGTCCTTAAAGAGAAAAGAATTAAAGAAAAAAAGAATAAATAAAAGTTTTATTTGATTCTTTTTTTTTTAATTATTCAGCCTGGTTTTTATCTTTGTTATGAACACGTTGCATTAAGTTTTTTTAACGATGCCCTTTCTCTTTTAGAAAAGGTGCAAAAATGGATTTTAAACATAGTTGGACCTGCTCTTGCAGCCAACCTCCAACCATTATCACATCGTCATCGTGTTGCTACTAAAATGGGCACTGCTCTAAAGAACTAGGCGTCTCTTGTGCCATCTACTAAAATTCATTATCTTGTTACTTGTCAATCAACTAAGTCTTATCTTTTTACTGTGACTGTTTTTAAGTGCTCCTAAAATTCTAACTTGTCTAGTTTTTTTCCTAGAACATCAGTTCTTTGGGATTTGCTCCCTTCATTTTGTTTTCCTGTTTTTTATAATTTGCAATCTTTTAAACTATCTGTTAATCGTTATCTTGCTCTATAATCTTCATTTCTTTCAATAACTTCTAACTCTAATACTGGATGCTTGGAGCCTTGTTAGAGATAAAGATGTTGAAAAAAAAAAAAAAGGTTTTTATTAATAATTTAATATTAATATTTTATTAATAATTTTGTCTTATTAATCGTACTTCTTCAAATATATTCAAAAATTCTTAATTTATTCTTATCAAAATTTCTATTTAATAGTTATTGAATGCTAACTTTGTCACTCTTACGTTTTTTGCTCTGAACCATGTCATCTACACAAATGTCAAGTCTCATTGTGGTCCATATTGTTAAGCTTGTTCTGCCAAATTATTTAACAATCTATATATATAATAATAACCTTGACAAATTTTCTCATTTTCCATATTTACTGAAATGTTGAGTTAAAATGGAAAGCAACTCTAAATGGATTGTAGCTGCTTATTAAAAATTAAACTTGTTTAAAATAATTTTCAGTTTAATAAACTTTCAACATTTTAAAATATTTAATTATTTTTGTTTTATTAACAACCAGGGTTGTTAATAAAACTAAAATAAGGTTTTTAATAAACTTAAGATTTGAAACAAAATAATCTTAAAAAATAAAAATCTTTTTATTTGTTTTGTTTAAACTAAATTAGCAGATTTTTGTCACCATAACAACGAACAGCTTAATTCCGTTGTTTTGATGACAAAATTAAGAAACCGATGTTTTGACGGGGATGTAATTTTATATATATATATATATATATATATATATATATATATATATATATATATATATATATATATATATATATATATATATTTAAAAAAAAGAATATTAGAAAATAAAAATTGGATAAGTATAGTTTAGAAAGATAAGTATAGTTTAGTTTAAAATTTAGTTTGGTTCTTATATCTTATTATCTTATTTATTGGGATAATTTGATCAATTAGCTTGTGTTGCTATGAATTCTCCTTTAGCATCAATTTTAGTAAATATTTTTATCGGATCACATAAGCGATGGGTGACATTATTGGTAATTTTAATTCTGAATTTGAAACTAAGAAGTTCTTTAAACATCTCAATTAACAAAATAAAATCTTGAAACATGGAAAGTGAACAAAATAGACAAATCTTTTACTAATAAATGAAAAAATTAAAACAGTCAAAATGTTCAAATGTTCTAATAAAAAATGTTTTTTTATCGAAGTTATTATATGTCGACGGCCTTTTACACATATCACAGGTTTTTCTTTTACACATTTCACAGGTCTTTCTTTTACACATATCACAGGTCTTTCTTTTACTTATATCACAGGTCTTTCTTTTACTCATATCACTGGTCTTTCTTTTACACATATCACAGGTCTTTCTTGTTATAATCTTTGTCTAATATGTTATTTAATTGATAAAAGATGTAAAATTAAAAAACGTGACCAGGATTTATTAAAGACTTAAAAAATATTTATAATTTAATAAAAGTAATTTAAATAATTTAAAATCTATTTCTACAAAAAAAGAAAAAAAGAAAGTATAAACATTAAAATAATAAACTCTTTTTTCTTTTTTCTTTGTTCGCTGTTTTATCGTGTCATAATTTTATTATATTTATTTGTAATATATAAATTTTTTTGTCCGTAAATATTTCTCTGTTATGTTTTCATACTGATATTATAAAAAATAATCTTTATAAAATAGGTCGTTTTTATTGACTATGTAGTCCATCCATTATGGGAGACTTGGAGTGACCTTGTGTACCCGGATGCACAAGAGATTCTAGATCGACTTGTTACAAATCGAGAATATTATCGATCGTTAAGTTCTACTAATATCAGTGGAGATACTTCGACTTCGCTCTTAACAACGAAAATACCTGTAACATGTGAAACCGATATTAACGGTGATTTTTTATTATTGTATGGTATTGTTCAAATGTTTTTATTAGTTTCCCCCCCCCCCCCCTCACCCCATCCCCCACTCCTCCTCTCTACTTTTCATCATTTTAAAAATATTGTTTTTAGATTCTTCTGATGACAAAAATATTTCGGGCAAAAAGAATGTTAAACTTTTTCAGCAGCAAGAAACAGAACGGATCGAACTTCTCAGTGTAAAAAATATACGGCGAATGTCTGATACGGACGTTTTGAAATTCACTAGTAGAGCAGTTAAATCTACAAAAGAAACAATTTATGAAAATGAGAGTAAACTTTGTAACTGGTCTTTAAATGCGGCTAAAAATTCCGGAACCGATGAAAATCAGAACTTATTAAATGGTGATTTATTAACGAACTTGAGGACTAATGTTACTAGCATCCAACCACAAGTTTCGTAGCCGTAAATTTTGGAATGAGTTGATTTTAGTTACTCAACTAAAGTCTACAGAAACGCGTAATATATTAACATGTGACTCACACATGTTAAATTAGATAATATCTCTGGAAAAGTCTAGATTTTTTTGACGACGTGATATTATCAAAAATGGGTGAATCTGTTAAAAACTTATCTTGCTCTCTGGGCATATAAAAATAAACTTGAAAATCAAGTTACATGGCGAAGGTATTTGCATTCGGTACTTGTCTACTTACCGATACCGCTCAAAAAGAAATCTTTGTATAAATTTATCATAGCTTTCATATATTATAGGTGTATTTTAATGATTTTACTTGTTTATTGCTGTTTATCATTTTTACTTAATATTTAAGTTTAATATCCCCGCAATACATTCTCTACTACATCGATAAAATATATTTTCATATGTGCAAATGTTTTATCATTTTAATTTTTACCAACAATTAATTTGCAATTTTTAATTAATTGTTAAAATTAAATTTTAAAAAGAAATCAGTTAACAATAATCTTCTTACTAATATTCGACTGTTTAAAAAAGCTTCTCATCTTGAGTCTTACAATTCTCTAACAATCTAATTGTCAACTTACTCTCTAAAAATCATGACGGATTTTGATCCTCTTGTTCTACTGCTGGCTTGTTAATCGTTTTTTATGTTCATAAAAAAGGTTCATTCATTCGATACATATAAAAGGTATTCAATTGAGTCTTACATGTTAGTCTTTTAATGAGCTCGCTTCAAATGGTCAGGGAAATTTAAAAAAATTTTTTGAATTATTCCTTTTTAAACGTAGTATTAAAGTTATAATTGATAGACAAGCTTTCCTTCATTTTCAATAACTCCTAGGATACTCTTGGGCAGGACTATTGAAAGAGCTCACCGTGTCGGGAAATAAAGGACGATCTCCAACAACCATAATTGTTAAACTATTAGACTTATAAGATAAAAATAAAGTTTTAGCATTAGCGAAAAAAAGGTACAGGGATGTTCATCAACGAAAATTACGCGAATTAAGCACTGTAAATGAGGAAAAGGCTATGGGAAGATGTTAAAAGATTTTGCAAAGAAGGTAAATAAGCTATATATATTTATTTATTAATCACCCGCTGTATATAATACAAGGTAAATTATTATAAAGTTACATTTTTGACACGAAATAAGTTTTTATCTTAGAATATTTACTTCAAGAATATCTTTGAATATTTTCCTTTGCTCTGATAAGTTGCAGAACTCAATTGCATAGCTTAACTTTTGAAAATCTTTTTTAGGAATTATTTTTTTTAACACAATTTTTACTTTTTTTTTGTTTTTCATTAAGCTCTCTAGATTAAGTTCATTCCGATTGCATAAACCTATGACATCATCTAGAAAACCTATGACATCATCTATGACATCATCTAGAAAAAGGTGCTTAGCGGTATGGTTTTTAATTTGCGAATTTAAAATACCAAAGGTTGTTTTATTGCTCAATATGCGAATAAATAAGTTTAACTTGTTTTGCTGTACAATTGTTGATACATCTTGGATGTAAAACAAAGAATGAATATAATTTTTGCTGTGTTTGGAAACATTGAAGAGTGACTTAAGTGCATTCCTCCCTATTATATCAAGCTTTTGCAGTACGTCTTTATAATCACAAAGTTCAAGACCATACGTAAGTACCGGAACCGCCAATGTTTTATATAGCTGGGCGATAGAGCTTGGATGAGCAAATCCAGCTATTATTTAATATGATAAAACATTCGTTAAAGAATTTCGTAAATAAAGAAATCAGCGAGCTGTAAAGCCTTTGTAATTAGAATGTCATTAAACTGACATAAATTATCACATAACTTTTATCACGATAAAAAAATATTTAACAAAAAATGTTGTGATGCAGAGTATTTTTGATATTGATACCTTTAGAATCCAATTTAAATGTAATGAAGATTTTTCGGTCATGTAGATAAACATAAGAAGTGTAAACACAAATATTGACAAATTAAAATTCTTTCTTTTAGAATGTAATTAATTATTCAGCATGATTTGTCTTAAAGAAACATGGTGTTCTGACGAATTTTCACAAACAAATTTTTTTATATTTCTTACTACAAAATGATTTCTTTTGAAAGAAAAATACTTAATAGAGGAGGAGGAGTTATAATATATATTCAGAATAATTTAGAAAAAAAAAAGATTAGAAACAACCTTTTATTTTCTGATACAGACTGTGAGGCTCTTACAATTTTTTTTTTTATTTATTTCGCTGTTTAATAAATACAATTAACTTATATATACAAAAAAATACATACATATCCATAATAAAATTGCACATCTCGTCACCAGGCACCGTTTTGTATATAAAATATAAAATGGAATGGATTTTTTAATGATCTTTATTAGATAAAGAATTAAACAGACAGGGTCTTAAAGTAAATACGTCGTCGCAATCTTTTCACAGAGCCCCTTAAAAAGTTTTAATAAAATTTAGTCTTTTTTTTTTAAACTAAAAATCGAAAAACTAAGAAACTATGAAAGTATAATAATATTCTTTACTGCACTAAAAATTAAAACAAAAAAACTAAAAGAAAAAAAAAAAAAAATTGATTAATAGACAGTAAATATGTGCACAAATATAAAAGTATTATAAAAAATATAAAACTTCAAGTTTTAAAAATTTCTCTTTTTGTTAGATACTTAAATAAACTTAACGACTTAACCATACACGAGAGTCCTTTTTGATAGATATTCCATAGAATATTTTTTATTTGAGGAAACCAGAATAAATTTTCATCAATCAAAATTCCTAAGAATCTTATACTGGCTTGCTATTTAACTAATTTATTATTTAAGATATAATCTGGCAACTTAAGAGGAAGGTTTTTCTCCTTATTTTTTTTATGAAACATTATAAAGTTATTTTTCTTAACATTAATTGAAAGTTGGTTAGCCCTAAACCAACTATTTATTTTATTTAGTTTAATATTCATATCTGCATATAATTTTTTGACATCATTGTTAGTACATGTTTTTTTTTTTATAAGCATATAAAATTTTTGAAACAGGCTCGGGTATGCCTAAGCAAAAAGTTAAAAGAGGCTCAAAAATATGCTAAAACTTAAGCATATTTATAATAAAATATGCTTATTTCAATACTTTCTAAAAATGCGTGCCTTACTAAAGGTTAATGGTTATAAGAAAAATAAAAAGTTGACTTTTGTACAGTATAATAAAAAATATATACTATATAAAAATATTATCAATGAAATAATAAAATAAATAACATTTAAAATAAATGAAATAATAAAATTAATAAAATTTGAATTTTTTAAATGGTTTATCGAGGCTCAGGAATATGCTTACATATGCTTATTTTTTTTCCAAATCTGAGCCTTCATATGCTTATAAACGTTATGCTTATAAAAAAAAAAAAAAAAACATGTATTAAACAAATTTGTATCATTAGAAAACATGACTAAACTCATGAAAACATGACTGAATTCAGTTTTAAAGATGCATTACAAAAATCATTTACATAAATTAGAAACAGTAGTGTGGACCAAGAATTGATCCTAGAGGAACTCCACATAAAACATTTAATACGCAAATTGCGAATTATTCACATATTGCTTTCTATTCGTAAGATAACTTTTTAATCCAATAATAAGCTTTATTAATTATCTCATAATGCTTTAGTTTATTTAAATGGATGCAATGATCCACTGTATCAAATGCTTATGATAAGTCAATAAATACTCCTAAGGTAAGTTTGTAATGTTTAAAACCATCAATTATTTGATTTACTATTTCAAGTATTGCGTGTTCAGTTGAAAGATTTTTTTGAAATCCAAACTGATTTTGAAAAAATAAATTGTTTTTAATAAAATGATTATAGATTCTATTATAAATTACACGTTCGAAAAGTTTTGAAAATACAGAAAGTATTGATATAGATCTATAGTTAGTAATGTCTGAATGATTATTATTTTTGTATATAGGAATTACTTTTGCTAATTTAAGTACGTTAGGAAAAATCCCAGTAGATATTGAAAGCTTTAGGATATGAGTCAGAGGTATGCATAGGCTGTTTTTGTTTAAAATAACTAAATCACTAGATATTTCATCAAACCCTAGGGCCTTTTTTTTTTAAAAGAAGAAAATGCTTCTTCAAATTCTTTATATGTAAATTCATTATCAAGCATGACAGCGTTATTAGAAGGTTGTAAGTATTTTTGAAATGAATTAGATGTTTGAATTATTTTTATTAGCAAGATTTGGACCAATGTTTATAAAATAGTTATTAAATTGAAATAATTATTCATAAAAAAAAAAAAAAAAAAAAAAAAAAAAGATTCTATTAAAATCATAATCGCTAGTCCAAATTTGAATAAGATTTTAAAAAAATACGTTTTTTAGGTAAAATGAACATCATACTTTAATAATATGATCTGTTCTGATCATTTATTGGCAATTTTTTTTAATTAAAAGCTCTTCCTTGGTTGGAATTCTAGTTTTTTTTGTAAAAATCGATAGAAATACTGTATTTTGGCAACTATATATAGTTAATATACGTCAGAACCGATTAGAACTAAGATCATTAGTAAATTAAGGATCTTTTTAAAAAGATTTTAACTAATTTTATGTTAACCCCGATGAACGGAATTTATTTGAAGACTCCAAAATGGTGTTCTTTAAATTCACTATTACGGGTTGCAAAAAGATTTTGAAAATTACGTAAAAAAAAAGAAAGTATCTTCAAATATTAGAAAAACCTGAAGCAAAAAAAATTATAACATCTAAAGCTTTTGTTTGGACATAATATGCTAATAAAATCATGCTAATTTCAAATAAAAGAATTCGAATAATTTGTAAATTGCCTTAACTACACCGAGTCCATCGATGAACCAGCAACGTAGTAATAGATATCTTACCCTTTATAAAAGATTTGTAAATTGCCTTAACTACACCGAGTCCATCGATGAACAAGCAACGTAGTAATAGATATCTTACCCTTTATAAAAGATTTTTATAATTTTTAATTTAATTCGAACAAGAGTTGTCCCAGCAACGTAGCAACAAGAGTTGTCCCAGCAAAAGTTAAAAATAGCGAAAATTTTAACAACATTTAAAACTGGAGACACGGCATCACTAACCAATTTTAGACCTATATCAATTCTTTCATTATTTTCCAAGCTTCTGGAACGAATAATCTATAAAAGACTCTGTAAATATTTGATAGAAAACAAAATTTTAAGTGAATATCAGTACCGTTTTCTAACAAATCATTCAACGGAACATGCAATCATAGACCTCATGAACAACATCAGCTCATCTTTTGATAATGGACAGTTTACTTTGGCATCCTTTATTGGTCTTTACGAAAGCTTTTGATGCGGTCCACCATAAAATTCTGATTGAAAAAATGAAAAATATGGCATAAAAAACAAAACTATTAAACAACAACAACAACAACAACAACAACAACAACAACAACAACAACAACAACAACAACAACAACAACAACAACAACAACAACAACAACAACAACAACAGCAAGCTATTTTTTTTCCATTTATAACCATTATTACAATAGTAATAAAAAAGTAATAATAATACAATAATAATAACAACAATAAAAACAATTATAATAATAATTATAAAAATATATTAAGATAACAAATTAATTAAGAGTAATAGAAATTTATCATTATAATTGTAATAAAGGACAAAAATAACAATAAATAAAAAAATTAAATAGTAATAAATATTATAATAATAGTTGTAAGTATAATATTATTTTATAATAATAAGTTAATGATTTATAAGGATGGTGTCACTCATACAGAAATCTGATCAATGGAGTGACACCAGTTTTTAAATATAATATGACTAATAATAAGCATATAAACATACAACAAACATTAAAAATAAACATGTAAAAATCATAATTTGCAGGTAATAATATTAAAAAAGACAAGGTTATTCACAAATAATATTAACTTTCAACATCCGATAATAATAACTAGAATGCATACATATGATAATAATAAATACAATTACATTCATAATTGTAATATTAAATAAATTGCTAACAGTAAGAATAATAATAAAATAGTAATTATAATAATTAAATTAAATCAATATTACCTTGCATACAACAATCGCTCATACATACATTGTTACAGTTACAAACAATAATAAACTGACGAACGTAACAACGATAACATAAAAACGATTATTGCTAAATGATTAAGATTTAGTAAATTTAATAATCATAAATGTTATAATATAATAATGAAAATATATTGCAAATATAATAAAGAAATAAATAAAATATAAACAGATAAAAACAGTGTAAAAGACAAAACAAAAAACTTACAACAAACAAAAAACATTACAAACAAGACATTAAATTTATGTCAACATAAATTAAAAAAAAAGTAAAAAAATCATTAATGTAATAAAGCAAGCTAACATAAATTAAATATTAAAAAATAAACATACACACTCATGCATACATATGTACATACACACATATACATATGCACACAGAAATACACACACATAACACGCACATACAAATATATACAATCTATATATTTGTGTAAGTAACATCCACAGTTTAAAAAATTTCAATGCTGTTTAAACAAGTTAAAAAAAATTAACGCTTCTATCAGTTCTTTTTCTCATTCCTATTTTTACTTTATTCAATCTATAGATTTTTTCTTCACTTACGTTCTTTTTACATTGCTTTAAATTTCTTACTTACTTTGTTGTTGCTGCTTTTCGATTTATTTAAGTTTTAAGTTTTTTTTATTTTTTTCTAAATCTTTTTCTTTTCTCTGTGTTCTTTACTTTTTTAAAATTTTTTTTTAGTATTTCTTTTCGTTTTATTTATTTAGTATTTCTTGTTTTTTTCCTCCAAAATTTCCAATGAAACAGCTTTTTTCATTCTTTTTTTTTTCTATAAAAATTTCCGTAAATGGATCACCAGTTATTTAAATGATAGGCAACACTGTGTCATAATTGACAATATTTCCAATTCAAAGCTATTAAAAATAAAATGTGGTGTTCTCTTGCCCCCTAGTTATTTCTTATATACATTAATAACCTTCCTAAAGCCTCTACAGTTCTTGATTGCATAATGTTTGCAGATGATACAAATCTGTTTTATTTACCTTCTTCTATCAATGACCTTTTTGACAAAGTCAACCTTGAGCTTCAACAACTTAAAACATGGTTCAGTGCTAATAAATTATCAATAAAGTACAAAAAACTAATTATATCTTATTTCACTCAAAGCAAGAAAAAAGGCACTTCTATCAATTTTTCCCTCTCTAAGTATCGATTTCAACAATATTGAAAGAACTCAGCCAATTAAATTTATTGGAGTGGTTATAGACAAATATTTTTCATAGACTGACCAATTAAAGGGCATCAACACTCAAATATCTAAAAATCTTGGTTTACTTTTCGAAATTAGACCATTTTTATCACAAAAAAACTTGAAATTTTTTACTTTTTGTTTATACGTAGTCATCTTACATACGCTAACATTGCTTGGGGAAGTACACACAAGACAAAATTAATGTCTCTTTATCGAAGGAAGAAACATGCTTCTAGAATAATATATTATAAAATCAAACTTACACATGCTAAACCTTTATTAAAAGAAATTAGTATATAACAAATTAATTCCAAAATACACCTTAATTACTCTTCCTGACAATATATTTTCTTCAAATTCAAAATCTAAAAATCTTGTTCTAAATATAGATAATTACTGTTGTGTTTTGATTATTTACTTTGTTTATTTTAGAGTAGAAAAACTTATAAGAATTAAAATATTGTTGTTCTTTATGCAAGTGTTTCAATTTTCTACTCTTATCAAAATAAAATATGGATTGAGCTCTAAGACCTTCTCGCTTGGATACATTACCAAACTCACCTTCTGCAACAAAATTATTTAAACATTGGCTCAGAACATTTAAATATTATCTTGATGAACTCCCTCAAGAACTCAATAAGTTAAAAATCCTGACTAACTTTGTTGTGCCCGGTGTTTATGAAATAATAAACGAATGTCCAAATTATGAAGCAGCAATACAAGCTTTACAATCTGTGTACATCAAACCATCAAATAAGGTTTATGCACGACACCTCCTGGCAACACGTAAGCAACAGCCAGGAGAAAGTTTTGATGAGTATTTACACGCTCTTAAAGTTTTAGCAAAAAAATGTAACTTTAAACAGGTGTCTGCTATTGAATATCACGATGAATATATTAGAGATGCACTTATAACAGGAATAAATTCACAAGTTGTCAGACAGCGACTGCTAGAAAACAGTACAATAAGTCTGGATGAAATATTTTCAAAAGCTAGAACCTTGAAATCAGCGCAGAAAAATGCTGAAAATTACCTCCAGCATAATACATTAAATACAACAGTAGCTGCAATAACAAAAAAGCCAAAGCAATTTAACTCAAATTCTGTTTCGAATTGCTGGAACTGTGGTAATCAAAGATATGCTAAAGCTGTCTGTCCTGCTGGAGAGTCAATTTGTTTTAAATGTGAGAAAGTTGGTCATTTTGCCAAGTTATGTAAATCTTCTAAAGTTACAAGAACAGGGATGAATCTTGTTGATCAACGTTTGAACTCATACAATCACTTACTTGACTAGGCTACCCTGAACATTAAACTAATTTAAAGAATATTTCAGCTTCCATTTCACCTTTGACTAAATCAACAATTGGTATCTTGGTTAATGGTTCATTTGTAAATGCTCTCATTGACAGTGGTAGCACTGATAGTTTTATTCACCCTCGATTGGTACAAAAACTAAACCTAACAGTTCATAGACAAAACCAAAGACAGGTATCTATGGCTTCATCATCTTTATCGAGTACAATTTGTGGAGTAGTTTTTGTCAATATTTCAATAAAAAATGAGCATTATAAACTAGTGAAACTTCTTAAATGAGTTATGCATGGATGTTATTCTGGGTCTCGATTTTCAAAGACAACACAAAGCTGTAACCCTTAAGTTTGAAGGAAAAAGATCCCCACTATTAATTTGTGGTTTGTCGAAGTTGAATGTATCTCCTCCTAATTTATTTGGCAACTTATCGCCTAACTGTAAACCAATAGCTTCAAAATCTTGTCGATATAGCAAAGAAGACCAATTATTTATTGAAATGGAAGTACAACGTATGATCAAAGAGGACATAATCGAACATGCAAATTCTCCCTGGAGAGTTCAGGTAGTTGTAACTAAAGGAGAACGCTCTAAGAAAAGATTAGTTATTGACTATAGTCAAACAATAAATAAGTATACTCAACTAGACGCTTACCCATTTCCAAGGATATTTATTTTCTTGTAAATAAAATTGCTCAATACAAAATATTTAGTACACTTGATTTGAAATCAGCCTACCATCAAATTCCAATTACTGAAAATGATAGAAAATTTACAGCTTTTGAAGCAAATGGGAGGTTGTTCCAATTTAAGCGAATGCCTTTTGGAATTGAAAATGGCGTTGCTTGTTTTCAACGTACGATAAACGAGTTTATAGAAAAAGAAGGACTTTTAGATACTTAGGCTTATCTAGATAATGTGACAATATGTGGTAAAACCCAAGAGGAGCATGATATTAATGTGGAAAAATTTCTCAAGTCAGCTGAAAATATAAATCTTACTTATAATCATGATAAATGTAGCTTTTCCCAAGATAAAATTTGCATTCTTGGTTATCTTATAGAAGAAGGAAAGCTCAAACCAGATCCCAGTCGTCTTCAACCTATGAAAGAGATGCCTCCTCCTCATGATGCTAAATCCATGAAGCTTATCATCGGACTATTCTCATACTACTCTAAATGGATTACAAACTTTTCCGACAAGATAGCTTCTCTTACCAAAAACACCAAGTACCCATTAAATCATCAGTGTGTAAATGATTTCAATCAACTTAAACAAGACATTGCAAATGCTGTGACAGATTATGTGGACGAAAATGTTCCATTTGAAGTAGAAACGGATGCATCTGACATTGCTATAGCTGCAGTTCTTAATTAAAATGGCCGCCCTGTAGCTTTCTTTTCGAGATTACTTCAAAAATCTGAACTCAAACATCCCTCTATTGAGAAAGAAGCTTTCGCAATAATAGAAGCGGTCAGACATTGGAAACACTACTTTACTGGACGCCATTTTAGACTTATTACCAATCAGCAACCTGTGTCCGATATCTTCAAAAAGCAACATAAATCAAAGATTAAAAATGATAAAATTTATCGATGGAAAATTGAACTATTTTGCTACAATTAAGACATTGTTTACAGGGAAGGGAAACTAAATATTCCAGCTGACACATTTTCTAAAATACATTGCTCAGCAATAAACACTAACAACTTAAATCAGCTTCATCAATCACTCTGTCATCCTGAAGTAACTAGGTTTTATGCTTTTATTAAAAACCGTAATTTACCTTTTTCAATTGATGATGTTAAACGAATAACTAATCAGTGCAAAATATGTTGTGAATGTAAGCCTAGATACTACAAACCACTAAAATCTAATTTGATAAAGGCGACACAACCACTGGACCGTTTGAACTTAGATTTTAAAGGACCTCTTTCTTCGGAAACTAATAACAATTATTTTTTAACCATAATTGATAAGTATTCTCGTTTTCCTTTTGCAATCCAATGCCCTGATATTTTAGCCCAGTGTTTGTCACAAGTATTCTCGGTTTTTGGTTTGCCAAGTTATATCCATTCCAATAGAGGTTAAGCCTTCATCAATAAAGAATTAAAACAATACATACTAGAGAAAGGTGTTGTGACAAGTCATACTACAACATATAATCCTCAAGGAAATGGACAAGCCGAAAAGTATAATGGAACCATAATGAAGTCTATTGAGATTGCTACTAGACAACACAATTTACCCATCAAAGCTTGGGAAAAAGTATTGCCAGACGTTCTCCATTCTATAAGATCTTTAGTAAATAATAAAACAATGGAGACACCTCATGAAAGAATGTTTAAGCACCTTCGTAAAACAGCCTCTGGATGCACTTTACCTTCATGGTTTAGTCATCCTGGACCAATTCTAATGAAAAGACATTTACGTAATAATAAGTATGAACCACTGGTAGACAAAGTTCAACTTATAGATGCTAATCCTCAATATGCTCACATAAAGTATCCAGATGGAAGAGAAACCACAGTTTCCCTAAGACACTTAGCTCCAACAAGTTCTGCTCCGATCATTGATCAAACAAACGATATTGAACCTTCACCAGAGAATGCCTTTAATAATATTGAACCTTCACCAAAGAATGCTTTTAATAAACTTTCTTACCCCTATAAACCATTAACACCTGAGAAATATGGACTTACCAATACCAATCCTGAAAACTTTCCTAATCAGCCTCCCCTTTATCAACCTTCACTAGCTGAAAATCTTGTCAATGATGCTTGTCCGATCAATCCGTTTTTATTAATAACACCTGGAAAAGACACACGCAGATCCTCAAGAGTAATTCGTCGACCATTACGACTTATAGAAGAAGATACATGAAGAACCTTGTTTATATTATATTATATTCTGTTTATATTATGGCTGCAGAGAATGTTGTGTTTTGATTATTTACTTTGTTTATTTTAGAGTAGAAAAACTTATAAGAATTAAAATATTGTTGTACTTTATACAAGTGTTTCAATTACATAGAATTTCTCTAGTTCACATGATAAATCAAAATTAGAACTAAAACAATCTACATCAAGAGAAAAGTCAGACTTATATAAATATATATCAAACAAAAAAAATAAATAAATTAAAATACACACACACACACAAATCATAATTCAACTAGAAAAAATAAAACAAAATTTTATCACAGTAATATTATAAATATTTGTACATAAGAAACATAATGTTTATGTGTATCTTGCGTTTTACCCCAAGGTTCTCAATGATAAGACTTATTCAGTCTTCTACAAGTTCCCTATAACAATATAATCTTAACAAGTCTCTCATAATAAATTTAACTAATGCTTCCTAAATTTAAAATTATTATTTTTTTATTTTTATTTTTTCTTCTTTTTTAACTGAGTGTTGTTTTTTCTGTTTTTTTTTTGTTAGATATGTTTTAGCAGTATTTGATTAAATATAATCTATTGAACGGAAGTATATTTTGCTTATATTATGATGTTAAAAAAATTTTTATTAGAATTTTTATATTTTTATTTTTTTACTTTTTTTTATATAAATATTTTTACAACAACATATTGGTTACAATTTTTTTAACATCATAATATAAGCAAAATATACTTCCGTTCAAAATTCCTTAATGAATCACATTAAAGAACAAAGAAACATTTTTGAACTCTTGAAGAGAAAATTCCAAAATAATCTTTTATTTTATTTATAATTCTTAACTTTTGCATTTTTATTTTGTAATCATGTTTATATTAGGTAATTAATAAAAATTAATAATAGTAATAAAAATAATAATTATAGTAATAAGCTTCTTTAGAAAATATCGATGATAATAACTAAATAGCTATAGATTAAATCACAATTATAATAACGATTATGTAATCGATTAAGAATTAAATTAAAAGATGCATCGTGTTACCTGGGTTAGAGGCGTCCGTAAACAACGTCACACTCTTTCTTGGGAAATGCAAGCATTTGTGGATCACTTCAGTTTTACACTTTTGGTATATATACATTATAAAGTAAGAAATTATAATTTTATCGTTTTCTCTTGCACATTTTGATGTTTTATTTCTTGCTGAAAAGCACTCTCGTGCATTTAAAAGTTTTGAAAGAAAATTACACCATCTAGTAAAAAACTAACTAATTATATGACATTACCATTATATTTTTAATGATAGTTTAAAAAAAAAACTTAATTTGTTAAACAATCAAGTACCCATCTATACAATTTTGCAGCCCGCCTAATCTAGAATACAAAAAGAAAACTAAAAAAACAAATGCTTTGAAAGAAAAAAAAATGAGACCAGCAAATTAAAAGGCTGAGTAATCTTGAAATTATCTAATGGAAAAGTTATAAAGATTTATAAGTTTTATATTTTGCTAATAGATCGCAAAATTTGAAACATTTTAAGCGATATTAAATCAAACCAAGACTGTCTTGTTTGTGGAACTATTCCTCTACCCTAACTACCCCTCGACAGTTTAAAGAAGTACAACAGTTTTTTTTGGGAAATTATGAGCTTACTTGTTGACCGAAAGCTTTTGTTAGTGGCTATACGAACGACGAGAACACTGCAAGACACTGCAATTAACACACCGTATATTGATCCTTTTGATTTTAAAGTAAAAACAGATGATGGTTCATTTTCTGTATTACACATAAACATTAGAAGCATGCAGCAAAAGTTTGATAAACTTAAAGAATTTTTGAATATTTTAAATTACACGTCATATCTCTTTCAGAGACTTGGCATGATACAGAAAGTACTCTTGAATTAAATTCTAATTATACTTTACCATTTTACAAACTAATTAGTCAACCACGAGGTGGTGGGAAAAAGGAGGAGGATTAGGAATTAATATCTTGGAAAAGTAGCTTTCAAGATAAAAAACATACTATGATTTTCTAATAATAATTATAAAAGTCTTTTCATTGAAATAATTAATAAAAAATACCTAAACGTTTTAGTTGGAGGTATTTATCATCCACCGAGTGGAAAAATAAAAACCTTCAAAACTTTTATCAAAAATACAATTATAAAAATAAAAAAAGAAAATAAAACATTATATATTACAGGTGACATAAATCTTGATGCATTTTTTGATTTACTTTTTAAATTTAATGTCTTGTCAACTATTAATAAACCAACGCAAGTAACTAAAACTTCGGCAACAGCAATAGACAATATTTTTATTAATAATTATTTAGAAACGATATTTGAAATCGGTATATATATGACAGATATTAGTGATCATTTCCGGGTATTCATAAAAACAAAAAATCTAAAAGCTATGACTGATTGTCATTCAAAAATCATACATTTGAAAAAACGAAATTTAAAAATGAGTAACACTAATAAATTAACAAATAGAATAAAACAAGAAACATGGAACAACGTATATAAATGTCAAGATACGAATGGAGCTTACAATGCTTTTTTAAGTACATTTTTGGAGTACTTTAATGAAACCTGTCCTCAAGAGATTATAAGAATTAAGTCAAAAGCAATCGCTAATCCGTGGTTGGATAAATCGTTATTAAATTGCTCAAAAAAAAAGCAAAATTTTTACAATGAATTTCTGAAAAATAAAAATAATGACAATGAAAAAAATTACAAAAATTATAAATTTTTTTATAATTTAAATATTTAATATAATTTTATTATAATATATTACAGTAATCAAATTAACAAATGCAAATTTGATTGCAAAAAAACATGGTCCATCATCAATGTCATAATGGAAAGAGAAAAACTAAATTCACCTTCTCTACCTAAACGAATTGTTATTGAAAACAACGATATATTTAGTCAAAAACAAATTTTGGAAGAATTCAATAAATATTTTACAAGTATTGGTCCAAATTTTGTAAAAAAAATAGTACCAACATCTGTATCATTAAAAACCTTCCTTAAACCAACGAATAATGTTATTATGCTTGATTATGAATTAACCTATGAAGAATTTGAGGCAGCTTTTTCCTCGTTAAAAAAAAATAAGGCTTCACGATTTGATGAGATATCTAGTAATATAGTTATTGCAAACAAACAGTCTTAAAAGACCTCTAATACATATACTAAAGCTTTCGTTAAGTTCTGGGATATTTCCGGATGTACTTAAATTAGCAAAAGCAACTCCATTGTACAAATGTAGTGATCATTTTGACATTACAAACTACAGGCCTATATCAGTACTTTCTGTATTTTCAAAACTATTCGAACGTGTAGTTAATAATAGAATCTATGATTACTTCATTAAAAACAATTTTTTTTTACCCAAATTAGTTTGGTTTTCAAAAAAATCTCTCTACTGAGCATGCAATCATTGAAATAGTAAATCAAATAACTAATGGTTTTGAAAATAATAAATTTGCTTTAGGAGTATTTCTTGATTTATCAAAAGCATTTGATACAGTGGACCACTGTATTCTCTTAGATAAATTAAGACATTACGGAACAATTAATAAAACTTATTATTGGATTAAAAGCTATCTAACAAACAGAAAACAATATGTAAATAATGCCCAATCTGGAGTGTTAAATGTCATATGTGGAGTTCCGCAAGGATCGATTCTTAATCCACTTCTTTTTTCAATATATATAAATGACTTCTGTAATGCATCCTTAAAACTTAATTCAGTCATGTTTGCAGATGAAACAAATTTATTTCTTACCAACAACGATATCAAGAAATTATATGCCTAAAGCGCTGACAAAAATTAACCTTATAACCATGTTGTCACCACCACAAGTATAAATACCTTTGCCAATATCTTAAATAAATATTGTAGATGTAGCCAGCTCAGAAGACAATTATAATGACAAAGATAAAATCTCCAGATTTCTTACATTTCTTAGAACTTGATTCAGAAAAAAATATTTCTAGTTTTTTGGAAAACTAAAAATTTACTGTTTTGTATTATACAGGTAATATAACTTTGTATTTCACAAAATTTTATTTTAGATTTTATATTTCCTAATTTCTTTATATTCAATCCTTGTAAATTAAATTCCAATTGTTCTTTATTTTTGCAAATAGTCACATATTTAACATAATTCTAAGGGTAAAATGGTTTCCATAACAACCACTTTATTCAAAAAAGTCAATATAGTGGGGATAGGAGAAGATTTGTACCTTCGTTTAAAATTTTTATTTTGGATAGATTTTATGGCATTTTAGACGTCTGTAGATGGTTCAAAAAATTAGTATGCTGACCATCAATAAAGTTTTTGTGTTTTATTTTTTTGTTAACCATTGTTCAAAAAGAGCGTTAGTAAGTTTTAAAATTTTTCAAGTTACCCCCTGACTTTTTATAAATAGCACTGACAATTATGTTTTTAGAATTTTAGTTAATAGTTTCTTACAATTTTTTTCATTAACATTGAGGCTTTTACGTGGTATAAAATTAATGGAATTATTAAATAAAAGTTGTGGGATGAAAGCAGTGCCACCGAGAGGGAGGGTCGTTTGAATATCTGTCCCGGTGGCAGATATCCAACGGGCGCCAAATAAAATGTAGATACCTAAAGGAAAAAAAAAAAAATGTCCTTCATACATAACATTGGAAAATTTTGATTAATAAGGGCGCCAATCAGGATTGCTGTTCCAGGCAGCGTGACAGCTCTTGGTGGCCCTGGATGAAGGGTACAAACACTTTCGCCACTACTGAAATTTCGTGATTAATGAATTGTTACATAATTTATAAGTGCAAATTGTAAATTATGTTTGTCATATTTACACCAGGTTTCTGTATGACAAACTATTTTGAAATCGTGACTTAATTCATGAATTAAAAGTTTAAAATTTTAAAAGTATTTGTTTATACTTTGAATATTTAAAATTGATATGTTTTCATT